AACTGCTCATTAAAAACAGCCAGTAACCACACTAACTTTATAGTAACGCCCTAGCAACCAATAACTGCTCATTAAAAACAGCCAGTAACCACACTAACTTTATAGTAACGCCCTAGCAACCAATAACTGCTCATTAAAAACAGCCAGTAACCACACTAACTTTATAGTAACGCCCTAGCAACCAATAACTGCTCATTAAAAACAGCCAGTAACCACACTAACTTTATAGTAACGCCCTAGCAACCAATAACTGCTCATTAAAAACAGCCAGTAACCACACTAACTTTATAGTAACGCCCTAGCAACCAATAACTGCTCATTAAAAACAGCCAGTAACCACACTAACTTTATAGTAACGCCCTAGCAACCAATAACTGCTCATTAAAAACAGCCAGTAACCACACTAACTTTATAGTAACGCCCTAGCAACCAATAACTGCTCATTAAAAACAGCCAGTAACCACACTAACTTTATAGTAACGCCCTAGCAACCAATAACTGCTCATTAAAAACAGCCAGTAACCACACTAACTTTATAGTAACGCCCTAGCAACCAATAACTGCTCATTAAAAACAGCCAGTAACCACACTAACTTTATAGTAACGCCCTAGCAACCAATAACTGCTCATTAAAAACAGCCAGTAACCACACTAACTTTATAGTAACGCCCTAGCAACCAATAACTGCTCATTAAAAACAGCCAGTAACCACACTAACTTTATAGTAACGCCCTAGCAACCAATAACTGCTCATTAAAAACAGCCAGTAACCACACTAACTTTATAGTAACGCCCTAGCAACCAATAACTGCTCATTAAAAACAGCCAGTAACCACACTAACTTTATAGTAACGCCCTAGCAACCAATAACTGCTCATTAAAAACAGCCAGTAACCACACTAACTTTATAGTAACGCCCTAGCAACCAATAACTGCTCATTAAAAACAGCCAGTAACCACACTAACTTTATAGTAACGCCCTAGCAACCAATAACTGCTCATTAAAAACAGCCAGTAACCACACTAACTTTATAGTAACGCCCTAGCAACCAATAACTGCTCATTAAAAACAGCCAGTAACCACACTAACTTTATAGTAACGCCCTAGCAACCAATAACTGCTCATTAAAAACAGCCAGTAACCACACTAACTTTATAGTAACGCCCTAGCAACCAATAACTGCTCATTAAAAACAGCCAGTAACCACACTAACTTTATAGTAACGCCCTAGCAACCAATAACTGCTCATTAAAAACAGCCAGTAACCACACTAACTTTATAGTAACGCCCTAGCAACCAATAACTGCTCATTAAAAGCAGTCAGTAACCACACTAACTTTATAGCAACGCCCTAGCAACCAATAAAAGCACATTAAAAACAGCCGGTAACCACAGTAACTTTATAGTAATGCCCTAGCAACCAATAACTGCTCATTAAAAGCCATCAGTAACCACACTAACTTGATAGCAATGCCCTGGCAACCAATAACAGCACATTAAAAAACAGCCGGTAACCATAATAACTTTATTACTGTAACTGTATAACCACACTTGGATGGGTTAAATGCAGAGCACAAATTCTGAGTATAGGACACCATACTTGGCCACACGTCATTTTCACTTTCAGTAACTTTATAGCAATGCCCTGGCAACCAATAAGAGCCCGTTAAAAACAGCCACTAGCCACATAGCAATGTATAACAGAATGTTAAAAACAACCAGTAACCAAAGTAACCATATAACAATGTACTGGCAACCACCCCCAGCGAGTTTTGCAGTCAAACAGCACTCAGATTTTCTTCAGCAAATATGTAGTTGTGTAATGAGATTTTAAGAACACTAATAGATGAGTGATAGATGACGCTCCTAATGAGTCTCCTCAGCCCCCTCTAAGTTCATTTAGTTTCTTCTCAAAGCGTGAGAAGTTTTATCATCTTATCAATAAGTGTGTTTAGCATGAAGGCAGCGGTGCAGACGAATATCTGTTTTACAGAGGTTTTCTACTGCAGCGCTCTATTTCCACAGCTCTGGAGTGACTGAAATCAATTAACGTTTGACACTCGTGTTGTGTCTATTATACACCCTTCAGAAGATCAATAACAACAGTGCAACACGCTCAATAGGAGGGTTTGTTTGTAATATACAAGCATCAAGATCCCTTCTGTTCAGGTGGCCAGCATCACACATGGGAACTTCTCTGTTAAAAAAAAATCAATTTTTGTGGTTTGGAACATTTTCACACGCCACTTGACTCACTCTACTGCGTGTGGGGGACGACACGGAGCAAACGAACCAGAAAAACCTCCAAGTATCCTGAAATATACCGTCAAACCATCAATTAAAGGGATAATTCACCCCAAAATAAATTTGCTGTTAACCCTCAGGACATCCAAAATGTAGGTGACTTTCCTTTAGCAGAACAGTAAAGAAGATTACTGATGAAACTGAGTGGCTGCTAGGAGTGTGCGATATATATCGTCTGCAATAATATCGTAATTGTTGTTTTAACGATGTGCGATTTGACATTATCGAGTATTTTGCAAAAACCATTCAAAACATCCCTACAGAGCGTAGTCTACTAGTGCGCGTGTGCATTTAGGGTGCGTTCTTTCACTGCATGATTCAGTCTATTATAATGCATTTAGAATGATCACAAATTCAAGACATGACGGCAGAAAATGTATATATTTATACCACTTCATAGTTATTCAATTTCACACGAAGAGTGCCGTTTTTCTCCAAAAATGACCATGATTACAAATGTGACACTGAATTCAATAAACAATAAGTTAATTAAGAGACTTACGTTTTAGACACCATATTGCTTGTTTTTGCTCTATTTCGCCAACAAAAATCATCCCGAATACAGCCACAGCGCTGTTTTGTTTCTCTGAGCAACATGACGCTGTTTCGTTCTTGAATGAATCACTCGTTTAAATGATTCAGTTCAATCGCAATGACTCGCTTATTAACAGTGCTTTGCTGCCACCTGCTGGCGGGTTTCATTTCACATTTCTGCTTTTATTTTTAGATTTTTTTTCATGTTTTAAATCATTTCAAATATCAGTATTCAACGTTTTATGTTTAATATATCAAAACATTATTTATGCATTTGTAATTGCAGGTTAAATGCAATCATGTCTTGCATTAAACAAAATACATGTGTGTAAATGCATCTAAATGCAGCTTCAGCTGCAGCTTCTGTGTTGATTTAATTTGCTCGGTAACAGCCCAAATGTCTTATTATTCTAATTCCCTGATTAAATGTAAGAATTTGACTCAAAATATAATGGACAGTTTTAGAAAAAATGGCTTTATAAAGGTAAAAATGGCCATAAAATTAAAAAATCTGAACCAGTTCACTGAAACGAACTGTCTGAAAGAATCAGTTTGTGGAAAAGAATCAGATTTCCCCGTTGCACGAGGCTCTGGATTACGGGTAATAATGCTGTAAATAATGTTCAGTTTCTTGCACAGACCACTCATTTCTCTTCATAAGACCTCAAGATATCGTCAGGAGCCACGGGTATTTTGTGTTCCTTGATATGCTGTTTTTATTCTCAAAATCTGGCATTTTATGAATCATCAAGGCGCACGGTTTCAGCTAAAAATCTTTTCCGTTCCACTGAAGAAAAAAAGTCACCTATCGCTTTAAACATCAATCGTAGAAAGAAAAAATCCCAAATACAGACTCAAAGTCACGATGAAACAAAAGTAACAATATAATCTTTTCTTCTGTACAAAAACAATGTAGGGCGGGGTCTTGGTTCTACACACTGGATGATGATTGGATGTTGAGATGTGGGCGTGGCACTCAAAAATGTACGCAGATGAATGTGAGCTTGCAGGGGTGGAGTTTATGCGCCTAGCAGCCACCTAGCAACCACTCACCACATCCTAGCATTGTGCCAACAACTTCTGCTCAAGCAAACGCTCTCTAATTTACTAATTAGACATTTATCTGACTTATTTTAATCAATAGTTTATTTACAGTCACAGATTACTGGTGATCAGTGGTGATGATAATCACTCATAAACCTACAAACCATGAGCTACTACTATGGTAAAGGTCCAAAACACCATGGTAATACCATGGTACACATGCAAAAAAACATGGTACTAACATTCTAAAACAATTATAGGACCATAACAAATTTTTACACTTGAAATCAAGCAGCGACAGATATAATTATGAGATACTACCATGGTAAACGCCTAAAAAACATGGTAATACCATGGTACATGTGCAGAAAAATATAGTAGTATGATTTTAAAACCGTTAAAGCACCATGATGATTTTGCCACTTGAAATCAAGCAGTAACAGACATGAATACGAGCATGGTACGTCTGAAAAACATACCATGGTACAAGTTAAAAAAATAAATAAAGCATGTCCATAAAACCATGTTACCATGTTAGTACCACGGTGATATTTAATACTTCTTTACAAGTGAAAATAAGCAATAACAGACACGACAGAGTGCCAATACCATGGTAAATGCCCAAAAAGCATGTATGCAGAAAACATGGTAGTAGTTACAGCACCATGATAATTGAAATCAAGCATTAATAGACATGATTATGAGCTATGTCCAAAAAAACACACACAGTATTACCATGACAGTACCATAGTGATATTTAATACTTTTTTGCATGTGAATATAAGCAGTGACACACATGATAGAGAGCTAGCACCATGGTAAATGACTAAAAAACATGGTATTACCATTCTAGAGCCATTATAGCAGTGAAATCAGACATGATTCAGACTGACATGATGGAAACATCACACATGGGCACAATTGTTGTGATGCTGCGCGGTGTGTATGTGTGTGTGTGTGTGTGTGTGTGTGCGTGGTGACTCAGGCTTCCGGCACACACACACACACACACACACACACACACACACACACACACACATCGAGCTCACGGATGCACAGCAGCACACATGATGATGTTCATAATCATAACACGAGTTAGCACCGGTGATTTACTCACATCTCAGTGGCTGACGCTGAACGTGATCACAGGTGTTTCGCGTTCTTCATCCTCATCCTCATCCTCATCCTCATCAAAGCCCGCCGCCGCTTACTCCGCTCGAACCGCGCCTCATCCGAACGGGAATCTGCTCAACGAGACGCTCAGACACTAAAGCACACCTCCTGAAGTGTACTGATGAGTGTGTGTGAGGCTCGTGTGGATCTGTGGCAGCCGATCAGTTCCCAGCCCCGCGGCGGCGCGTTCTGATCCGGGTCCTAGCGCCGCCGGTCGCAGCGCGATCATTGGACGTTTGCTTATGAATATTAATCAGATGCTGACGTTCTTTACTGGAGCGTCCAATTAAGAGTGTAATTAATATTCACGAGGTGAGGCTTCACACATCCATAGACTGCGAAAATGCAGTCAAATGTAAAAAAACTAAACAATATTTCAGGAATTATAGAATGCTGTTTGGATACTGTTTTTTTTTTCTTCGTATTTTTTACTTTGAACTGAAATTTTTGATCATTGCTATAATTTTATAATATTTTAAAACATGTATTGACTTTTAAATATGATATCATTCTCACTCACGGTGACGTGAGCAAAAAAATATATATACTGGGGGGGGGGGTGACTAAAAGGTGCATTTTTTTCATTATTTTTGTCTGTTAATGATTTTTTACAGTGTAAATTTATTTTTCATATTCAATATATAAAAAATAAAAATATAATAAATGATATCTAAAACTTTTGCATATATAATTTTTTTATAACATATACAAAATGCACCTTTTAATAAATGCTGTTCTTTTTAACTTTTTATTCATCAAAGCGTCCTGAAAAAAGCATCACAGCTTCCAAAAAAAATATGAAGCTGATTATTGATAAAAATCAGCATATTATTATGATTTCTGAAGATCATGACACTGAAGACTGCAGTAATGATGCTGAAAATACAGCTTTGATCACAGAAATAAATAAAATTTCAAGGTATACTAAAATAGAAAACCATTATTTTAAATTGCAATAATATGTCACAATTTTACAGATTTTTCTGTATTTCTGATCAAATAAATGCAGCCTTGAAGAGCAGAAGAGACTTCTTTAAAACACATTACAAATCTTACTGATCCCAAGCTTTTGAACAGCAGTGTGCAGTCTGTCACTGAACCTCCTTGTGTTTGATTATTCAACCATGACAGTAAAATCAGCCTCATATCATCAGCTTATGAGGCTCATCTCAGTGCGGCCCGTATTTAAGTCGAATAAGTTATTGTTCACTGATATCTAGGAGATCTCATGCCTTTTATGCATGCATTAGCCTAGTTATCCAAACTTAAACTATTGTTTAAAAAGTGTTTAGGTAGGATGATTTGAATACAGTATTACAGTAATGAGAATTGCACACAGCAGGCTTGAGGCTCAGTGCATTTTATGAGTGTGCTAGAGTTGTGTTGTTGCACGTAGCGCACGTGACGGAAGCGTGCGGTCTGCTGACGTCATCACAGGACACGTGACGCTTGCGATCACATGACGAGCAGAAGCCGAAACCAGGAAGGAGCGCATCAGAGATATTTATTAATAATCAGGTAAACGCTTCGTTTGATTTAAGCACTGTGTTTCCACGCGACACATTTTATTTGCATGCATTTGTAGATGACTGTATCTTATCTAAGGGTGAAGTAAACAAATCGGGGCATGCACGAACCCATCTTTGTCTCGGAAATAACAGCGTCCACTTTCACGCGCACTCATTTGTTATGCATCACCATCTGAGAAATAATCACGCGTGTGTTATGTTTTTGTGTATTGTGCATGTTGTGTGCATCAGGATAGTATGAGAGGATGGCCTCAGCGGTGGAGAGGACGGATGATCTGGTGCGGGAGTATCTGGTATACCGCGGTTTCACCGGCACACTGAAGCATCTGGACTCCGAGATCAAAGCAGACAAAGAGAAAGGCTTCAGAGTGAGTTTATGGCTGGATATTCACCTCCACACGCCTGCAGTGTCATGCATTCAGCGGATCTGATCTGCAGAGTAGCGCATTACTTTTTAATTTACAAGAGAATATCTGAGTTACTTTAGTTTAGTTACTTTTTACTTTAGTTACTTTTCAGATAAGTAACGCAAGTTACTTTTTTAATTTTCAATATATTGATTGACAGCTCTGGTGTCGCCATGGTGACAGAAATCAGAAGATGTTACTGTAGCTCTAAAATAAATATGAATATGCATTAATTCATCTCACTCACAAAAACACAGATTCAGTATTCCTCAAAATGAATAAAAATAATGCAACTCAGAATATGACGCAAACCTGCAATAATTAAATGTTAAGCAACACAAATATGCTTTATGTATTTAATCCCATTCTATTAGCTTCTGAGCTTCGATGATGCAGTTCAAGCGTACTAATAAACACACATTACTCTAGACGAACATCTGTGTGTCTTTGTTTATTGCTGTGTTGAAATGTATTCTTCTGCATTCTACTGTACTTTCCCTTCAGCCTGAGGCGCATTCACTTCACTTTTGCTGTGAAAGGCTTTTATATTTGCCAAAAATATAACTTTTTTATTTTACAAACAAACAAGCGAGCCCTGTCCAGATTTAAAAAGTAACGCAAAAGTAACGTAACGCATTACTTTCCATAAAAAGTAACTAAGTAACGTAATTAGTTACTTTTTTTATGGAGTAACGCAATATTGTAATGCATTACTTTTAAGAGTAACTTTCCCCAACACTGGATATGAGTATGCATGAACATGCACAAGTCAAATATACATTATTGATCTGTAAAAAGAGTCCAAACAGCTGATAAAAACATCACAATAATCCACAGCACTCCAGTCCATCAGTTAACATCTGGAGAAGACAAAAGCTGAAACACATCCAGCATTAAGACGTTTTTAACTAAAATACGAGTCTATAATCCATAATAACGCTTCCTCCAGTGAAAAAGTGCATCTGCTGTTGTCTCTCACATCAGAATCCAGCCACATATGTGTTTAGAGCTGTTTAAACGCTGCTTGATCTGTGCAGATTTCTCTCCTGATTCACACCAGAACACTGACTCACTGGAGGAAGAGTTATTATGGCTCGATGTATTTTAGGTAAAAAGTTTCAGCTTTTGTCTTCTCCAGATGTTAACTGATGGACTGGAGTGCTGTGGATTATTGTGATGTTTTTATCAGACTCTCATTCTGACGGCACCCATTCACTTGCGGAGCACACTGATGCAATGCTACATTTCTCCAAACCTGATGAAGAAACAAACTCCTCCACATCAGTATATTTAATGTTGTGTTGTGCCGATTTGTACAGTTTTCTCTCCGCAGTCCGATCTCAGGGTTTTGTTGATTCATGTTTTATTACAGGTTGATAAGATCATCGATCAGCTCCAGCTTCTGATTCAGAGTTATGATCTGACGGGTCTGAAGGAGTACTGGACGTATCTGGACCGCAGGCTCTTCTCCAGACTGGAGGACGTCTACAGACCCACCGTCAACAAGCTGAGGACCAGCCTCTACCGCTTCTACATCATTCACACGGTTCAGGTGCTCCAGAACATGTCCAGATCATGCTTCACACACAAATCAAAAGAACAAAATTAGAAATTGTATTTTGCATAAATGAAACTGAAGCACATTTTTTTGGATCATTAAGGTTTTTTGTATTGTTGTGTCATTTTCATGGTGATTACACACATTTTTGCCTCTAATTTTGTTACTGTTATGCAAAACAAGCTATATTATTTCAAGGTAGTACTACATTTAATTTATGGGGGTAATAAATACCCATAAATTAAATGTAGATAAATTAAAATAAATAAAATAACATAAATTAAATACCCATAAATTGAATGTAGATAAATTAAAATAAATAAAATAACATAAATTAAATACCCATAAATTGAATGTAGATAAATTAAAATAAATTAAATACCCATAAATTAAATGTAGATAAATTAAAATAAATCAAATTAAATAAATTAAATACCCATAAATTAAATGTAGATAAATTAAAATAAATAAAATAACATAAATTAAATACCCATAAATTAAATGTAGATAAATTAAAATAAATAAAATAACATAAATTAAATACCCATAAATTAAATGTAGATAAATTAAAATAAATAAAATAACATAAATTAAATACCCATAAATTAAATGTAGATAAATTAAAATAAATAAAATAACATAAATTAAATACCCATAAATTAAATGTAGATAAATTAAAATAAATTAAATAACATAAATTAAATACCCATAAATTAAATGTAGATAAATTAAAATAAATTAAATACCCATAAATTAAATGTAGATAAATTAAATTAAAATAAATAAAATAAAATAAATACCCATTAATTAAATGTAGATAAATTAAAATAAATAAAATTAAATAAATTAATAACAGTAATAAATAACAATACTAAAAGTAATAACATTAAATAATCATTATTATTATAATACTATTCATTGATATATAAGTATATACTTAAAAATAATAATATATTAAATAAATAAATAATAATAATAACTATAAAAACAAAAACATTAATAAAGTAATAAAAGCTGTATTATTTCAAGTTAGTGCTAAATGTAATTAATGCTGATAACGAATTTACACTGATCAATAATTAAAAATATTGTTAATATATTAATGAACATAATATTCATTCATATATCAATGTAAACTAAATGTAAATAATTATACTAACAATGATAATGATAATAATAAAATACTATTCATTAATATATAAATATTTATTATATAAATATACTTAATCGTGTAATAATAATAATAAAAAGAATAAACGACTAATAATAAATATAACATGATAAAAAGCTAAATTATTAATTTTTGCTCATCATAAATTACAAATGTAATTCATATATTAATTAATATTATTAAATAATAATTATTATGATTATACTATTCATGAAAATGCAAATATATATACTAAATATTAATAATAATCATGTAAAATAATCATAATAAATAAAAAGGTTTAGAAGTGTGTGGTCATTTTCTGCTCAGTGTAGTTCATCAGTGGGAGACCGATCTGTGTCTTGTGTCTCTGCTGTGTCTCAGATGAAGAATCCCGAGAAGACGCAGGAGTTTTTCCTGAAGCAGGTGCTGGAGCTGCAGGCTCAGCCGGAGTGGCGTGATTGGTTCGCTCTGCCCTTCATCCCGGCGCCGGAGCAGAATCCCTCCTTCTCTCCGTATTTCTCCCGGCAGTGGGCCGACACCTTCCTGGTGTCTCT